TTTTCCTTTGTTGTAGTCTTTAAATTTTGTTTTTCTTAATTCTTTCTCCCTCCCTCCATCTTGGCCCCCCAGACCTCACAGAGTCAAACCCTACCTCGGATGCACTCTACATTGTTTTCTGTTTATTTGGGAGATTATTGGGGGAAAGGTTGAATTTTTGCTTTTAAATATTTTTTTTTAAAAATCTGTCACTGGGAGGAAGAAGATCTGGCTGGCTTTGTGAATCACACGAAACATTCAAGGAATGATCACTACTAATTCTACCAAACTCTTCCATAAAACAGAAGACTTCCCAAATCAAGTGCAAAGTCAGAAAAAAACAAAACATGAAAACAGACCACATGGACATACCCTTATGAACATAGGCACAAAAATCCTAAATAAGTAAAATCAAATCTAACAAAATTTAAAAGTGCAATTAGGACTTATCCCAGAAATGCAAGAGTTATTCAACATCCATTCAAAAAGAATCCATCAGGAGCCTGAGGCAGGAGGATCATGAGTTCAAACCCAGCCTCAGCTACTTAGCGAGGCCTAAGCAACTCAGCAAGACCCTGTCTTCAAATAAAAAAATATTTAAAAAGGGCTTGGGATGTGGCTCAGTGGTTAAGTGCCCCTTGATCTAGGGCTGTTCCTCTGATTGGGACTCAAAGGGGACTATTTCTGGGGCTGGCGGGGCTCCAAGAAGGCAGACACATTACTGGCAGGTGCTGCGGCAGGGCCAGGCAGGTCCTCGGTGTCCAGCACTGTTGCCCCCAAAGCCCGAGAGCTCACACCTCCCAGCCATTGCCTTTCACCTGCCCCGTGGAGAAGGGAGATGAGCATGTTGAGCTCGAAGAGCACTGAGAAGCGAGGCCGGGCAGGCAGCCTCCAAGGGAGCCTTGCTCAGTGCTCACCTCAGAGAGAGCTCAGGTCCAACCAAAGGGAAGAAAAACAGGGGCTCTGCCAAGGCCCGGAAAACCACCACGTTTCTGGGAGGAAGGAAGCCCAGGGGCAGACCCATGGACCCGAGAGGGCACTACACAGGAGTCCTTCCAGGAGGGGCAGGGACCGTGCAGTGTCCCCTCTCTCCAGGAGCAGTTTCCTTCTGGGACTGGACTGCTTGGCTCCTCTTGTACTGCCCACCTCTTATCCCAGATGCACAGACATGGCCCCCGGCCAGACACCTGTGCCCTCGCCACCATGGGACACAGCCCAGCAGCTGCTCCAGGGCCTCTGTGGATCCAGTGGGGAGCGATTTTCCTCCAGCTTCTGTTCCCAGCCATGTCTGTCTGTCTGTCTGTCTCCCTCTCACATCCTGTGCCTGCTGCATCCCCATTCCCTTGGTGGGGGACATTGCTGTCTGGGCTATTCTCCTGTTCCCTATGGCTTCCCATACAGAGGCCTAGGAGGGCTCCTCTGGCCTTAAAAAGGGCACAAACCTGGTCTCCCTTTGCCATATGCCCCACTCTGCTGGACCGGAAGTAGGTGGAGTGGCCAATGGAGGAGAAGTGCTCAGCCCCCAGGTTGCTCCAACCAAACTCCTTCCTCAGGTGGGGCTCGTACCCACGTCTCTTGCCTCCTCGCTTCATCTGATTTGCACTTGGTTGGGTACAGGAAGGAAGGCTGGAGTTGGAGCCCCTGTCCCCTGGTCGGAGGTCCTGCACACCTGGCCTTCACCCTGGGATCTGAGTGTCTCCTTCGGTGGTGGAGATAAGTCACCTACTTCCCAGGTAAGGCCCAGGTTCCCTGAGCAGCCCTCTAAGGCAGGCCAGGGGCCCACTCACCCCTCACCCATCCTGCCCACTTCCACTCTAGGCTGTTCCCTTCTTCCTCAGATGGGTGCTGACAAGGACCAGTTCTGCCCGCTCCTGCCTTTCCCACCCCTCCCCAACTGGCAAGGTTCCTCTGCTCACAGACTAGACTGCCTCTGACCAGTTGTCGTTTGGCTCAGTGTTTCATCAGTTGCTGCTGCTACCAGTCCATCCTCTCCTTGGGGAAGGCAGGCTGGGGTGCAGCAGGCTGGAGTACCTACTGCCCAGCCCCAGCAGAGGAGAGGGAGAGGGTATTGTCCATAAAGGCTGTAGGGGCCACTTTCCCCATTGTTCTTGTCTGGGAGGTTTGTCCCAGCCTAGGACTCCCCCCTCTGGTTTCCTATTTGCAGTTACTTGAGTAAAAAAATATCCTTTAAAAAAAAAAAAAATCCAACTTTAATTGTGGTAGCAAACTACTCACGAAAAGATGTCCGAGTCCGAATCCTTGGAATCTGTTAGAATGTTGCCTAACTTTGGAAGGTTGCAGATGGAACTAGTCACCTGCCCTTAAAATAGGGACACTGTCCTGGATTATCCAAATGGCATGAATGTGAACACCAGTGAGTGGAAGTGGAAGGCAGAAGGAGAGTCACTGTCAGGGTGACAGAATGTGAGACTGGTCAGTGGGTCCTTGCTGGCTTTGAGGAAGAGCAAGGCCCCTGAGAAGCTGGAGAGGACAAGGACCCGGATTTTCTTGTAGCGCCCCCAGGAATGCAGCCTCACCAGCACCTTGACTTTAGCTCCTCCAGATCCGTGTCAGACCTGTAACTTTGTAAGATACTACATGGACACCAGTTGAAGGTGACAGGTTTGCAGGCATGGTTACACCAGGTATGGGACTCTGATAAAACAGCACTCCATCATAGAAACAGACTTAAGTAAAATCATGGTCATTTCAATAGAGGCAGAGAAAGCATTTGGCAAAAATTTTGGCATCTACTCATGATAAAAAACTTTTGAGAATTAAAAAGGACCTTGTCAACCTGTGAAAGGCACAAAGAATATAGTGAACCACACGTTTAATTATAAAAAACGTATTTCCTTTTCATTGTTCAACAGTGTACAAGACTTGGTAACTGCCATCATTGTTTTAAGCAAGAATACTCCGTGGGTGACACACCAGTGAGTATAAGGAACAGAACACTTGGGCTTAAAATATCTTCCTATAGGATACTTACTACAAATGGAAATAGTAACTTCAGAAAACTTAAAGTGATCCAAGCTGTCATGACTAATGGGATACAGCAACACCATGTACTTCCTGATAGGAAGATATGGCATCACTTCTGCGCTATTTCTACCAAAAATACAAAGCATGGATTTAATCATAGCTCTATGATGTGTTTTTTAAAATATGATTTCCAGCCTGTCCTGTATTTTTTACATTTGTATAACCTTTATTAAAATATAATTTTTGTTAATCTCTTACCATTTTTATTTCCCCCCTTTTTGTTGGTGCGTTACAATTGTACGTACTGATTTGTTGTTCCATGTTCTTCCCTGCATGCAATGCCAACAATATAATAAGGCTAATACCACTTCTCATCACTTTTGTCCCATCTATTCTCCTTGTGGGAACAACTATGTCCAGCAAATTTCTAGAAATAAAGAAAATGAGAGATTCCCTCTTTATATTCTACATTTCCTATCTTTTCATTTCATGGCTTTAGTTTCTTCTGATCCACCTACCATTTCATGAGTTCTCTTAAGCTGTGTCAAACGTGCTGCTACAGCCATCCTCTGAGTTATTCTAGATACTGTTTTTTAGTCTTAGAATTGGCAAGTTCTTTTCCACAATTTCCTCGAGATTCCTTTTAATTTTACCTCTAGTGTTATTCTGGGTTGATAACTTGTGTCATTTTAGCCCCTACAATCATTGTTTCTGATTTCCCTCTTATATCCAGTTATTTTTCATATTATATATGTATTATATATGGAAAATATAAGAGACTGGTGTTAAAGATGTTATCCTGCAGAGAGACTTTGCCTCTGGTGGATGTCTGTGGGGTATTAGCAGTCTCGTTTCTGTTCCTGGATGGTCTTATCTACTTCACGATTCCCCTAGGGTATAGGCCACAGTATTTTAAACCAAAGATTGTATAAGTCACCAATAACCAACCCTCCGTGCAACATATACCCGCACGTCTATCAAAATAAATCCAACTTTTCAATTGCCTACTGTGGACTTTGGGTATAAAAAATACCATTTTTCCAGATTTCCTTCTAAATATTGGTACAGTTTGCTTTGCTATCTCTTTGAACATATGATTTGTCCAGCTTTTTCATTAGTGCTCAGGGAAATAGCTGACATACAGCTTCCCCTCAATATCTATGGGAGATTGGATCCAAGATCTCCCAGGACACAAAAATTTGCAGATGCTCAGTCTCTTATATAAAAGTGTTAATTTGCATATAACCTTTTCTTCGTATATTTTACCTCCAGATTACAAATACCAAATACAGTGTAAATAAACAATTATATTGGATTATTTTGGTTCTACTGACAAAGAATTCTTAAGTCTGTTCATGTTCTGTACAGAGGATGCCTTCCCCCCCCCCCCCCGCCCACTTATTTTCAGTCTGAGGTTGTCTGAACCACAGATGCAGAACTCACAGATCTGGGGTGCCAACTGTATGTTATTCACTATTGCCAGAATTAGGAAGTGCATTTTCTCCTAAGTTATTATTGTATTGCTACACAGGATGCATTCCTGATAGGCCTTTAATTTGCACTCTCCAGCCCCTTCTCAACAATGTAAAACAGACATTGATGTGTATGACACATTTACAGAAATTTTTATAAGCCTTTGGAATGGTAAGATTTCCTTTTTGCACATACTGAATACCCAACTTCCTTCACCTAATGTTCCCCCCTGCCAATACTAGGGATCTGAAGTCAGAGGGGCTCTACTATTGAGCTACATCCCCAGCCCTTTTATATTTTTATGACAAGATCTCATTAAATTTCCTAGGCTGGCCTCAAATTTGCAATCCTGCTTGGGCTCCAGAGTAACTGAGCATATACCAGCATGCCCAACTTGCATTTCACACAGTTTTATAAAAGACTAATAGGCTAGTGAAATGAGATATGCCCCAGTTTCAGTAATATTTCCATTCATCTTAGAAAAGCAACAATTTAATCAGAACATATTAAGGTACTCAATGACTTTAATCTGAATAGCTTTATTGATATCATTTTAAGTTTAATAGCATTAGGAATGACATTTGTATATATGCAAACTTTTTCCTATAAATTAATAGCAGTGTTCTACTCTTTCTTTCCAAATTAATCTTTTAGATTTCTAGAAACAACAAACCAAATTCTAACTTCAAAAAAAGAACATTTGCCTTAGCCCTTGTTTAATTATGGGCCTATCTCCTCTATCATGGTTGGCTGTGTATCTCACTAGAATTTCACCTATATTACAAAAAATTTTCTTAAATAATTATTTTTAATAAGACAGGCACAAATCGCAAAACAAAATCAATTACCATATAATTAAAGCAAGTTATTTCCTAGCATACCTTCTGTTATATTTGAAACTAATCTCTGCCCACCCTGCCTTGCCCAAGTACCATTGTGTTTAAAGGAGTACGAGAAAATAAAGTTCTCATACATTTGTTTTCCTGAGTCTATTCAAAGAATCCTGTTAAGTGGAAAGAGTAACCTGTGTGGTTCCCGAGAAAGCATGTGCCCTCATAGGTAAGGTTAAACAACAGATTGAAAACTCTGATGATGGTGCAGTTAATATGGCATCACACTGGGACAGCAAGCAAAAGAAAGGCTAAGAGATGTTAATATCCTTTGTGGTAGAAGTGGCAAAAGCTGTCCATGTTCCCAAATTGCCAATTTAAATCACCATGTTCTCTATTACCTCTCCAAACAGACATCTGTTCAAAGATATAATCCATAGATGACTAATGCCCCCTTTTCAATTATCAGCACACCACTTGGAACGCACAGTGTTTGGGCACATTTAATTACTTAAGCTTTGCAACATTTGAAAGGGAAATTGCAAGACAATCCTCTGTCAGTTCTTTGCAGGCTGGAAAGGCAGCCTTGGGTCAAGTCGGGGGTAGTATTTTAAGTAGAAAGCACCAACTGATTTGGACCCAATCTGTCAACATAAATTCAACTTCTCTCTCAATTGTCTCCTGTGGAATTTGTGGTTTAATAAGCAATCCCAAATACCAGAGTTAATATTTCTAAATTTCTTTCTGCTAGATATTGGTTTGGTTTTCTTCTTTGCCATCTCTGATGCTGTTCAACATTCTCCCATGTGCAATAAAAAATGATTACAATTTAGCTATGAATCTATTTCAGATACCCAGCTTCAAAAAAAATTTTTTTAATGTACGAATTGTGGTTTTCAATATCACATCTTCTGCAGCTCAAAGGTAATAGAGAGAGTTAGCTAGTAAGCTACTTGGCTGATCGTGAAGACTCTGGCCCACAAGGTAAGCCAGTTTATGGGCATAGTGGCAAGGAGCAGGAACTCGGATGATGCCCTTTAGTAGAAAGAAAAAAAATATTTTTTTACTTTACACTCAAATGGACATTTACTATCTCTAAGTTTACATTGTCATAGATATCAATTCAGAGGTTGAAAAGTTGCTCAGTTTTAAACAACACATTTTACAGATTTGAAGGGAAATCACAATAAAATACTCACTGGCAAATTGTAGTACATGTGGCACAGTTTGTAAGTTAAACGCTGGACTGTATCCGGGTCCAAGCAGACGGTGTCATAGATAACATTATAATGAGTGGGAGTCACAGTACCAACTGTAGAAGACTGACTTACAATGTAAAAGTCATACCTGCAATTACAGAACACGGGGGTCTCTGCTTATTTTAGAGTAGAATATGATAACCCTAGTATCAGATGAAAATATTTCATTTACTAATTTACAGAAATCTGTTCTATAGACAGAGTTTCCTTTCAATTTAGAAGCCTGTCTAACTAACAATGATTTGATAAAGCAAGTCCATAAAGGACCATTAAGTTCAGGTAGATAATAACTTTCCTGAGATGGAGACTTGAAATATAGGTACTGATGCCCAGGAAAAGAAACAGAATTGGCACATTGGGTGGCAACAGGTAATTAGATGCAGAAATTTAAAGATGAGGCTTCTTGGGCAGGGGATACAGGCTTCTGTAAATGACAAAACTGGCAAGGTTAATCTATTTCCATTTGTTGTAAATACTGAATTTTATTTTTATGTGTACAGTCCTATGTAATGCTTTATACTTTTGCCTTTTGAATTAGTTCTTTCCTGTATTAGACTATATTGATCAATGTTTCTGCCCTTCCTTAATGTAATTTCATTTCTTCCCTCTATTCATATGTTTTATTTCCCATTCCAATTTCATATAACTCAATTATGGAAATGAAACATCTACATCTAAAGTTAACCAGAAGCTCTTGTTTTCCCCAGTAACTGAGAACCTTAAAATGTTTTAATTAAATATGATTATAGTTTTATAGATCTACTATTTTAAAAAACACACAGACATCCATAAGAATGGAACTCTACGATGTTTTAATATACCTAGCAGTTATTCATTACTTATGAAGTCAAGGCTTTCAGCGAGAGCTGGGTAGATCTGCTCATGTGGACACCATATGTTTACCTAAACATGTTTGTATTTTAGGTACGCTTGTTGATAGCTTAGGGGGCTATCAAATTCTAGTTTGATATTTTGGAGGCAGTTTGAAGATACAATATCACTATTGTTTCTATTACTGGTACTGAATAATTATTGTTTATAAATATAAATAATAGTATTCTTCTGACTGCTTTTAAAATTTCTTATTCTTGCTGTTCTTAAATTTCAACTAAATGGAGACTCATTTTTATTGTTGCTCAGATTTTATTATTTTCAAACATGAAGATTCAGAATCTCAGTCTGTCTTTGCTTATTACTTCTACCCATGTTTTTCCTATAGAACCTTCTATTTGATATACAGCAAGTCTTATTTTGCCTCAATTTCCTGAGCATTTCTTTCTTAGCTTCCATATTTTAAGGCTCACTACTGCATCATGGATACTTAATGTATTTTCTAATTAACCATTTTCTTTCCAGGTAAACTTCACTTTGATACTTCCTCCAATTTCTTTATTTTTGTAAAGTTTATCATTGTTAACTATCCAAGTCCAAATTGACCTTTTAATTCAACATTTCTTAGTTACTTTTCTTATGACTTTTATTCCATGACTTCATTCCATCTTCCCTTTTAAGCATACTTTACTATGGAATTATTGCAATCATTTCATTGTCTAAAAGTTTTGGATGTCTGATCCTGTTGTCATTTTGTCTGCTGATTCTCCCTCATGGTGGGTTGCTTCCTTACATGAAAAGAATTCATAAGTGACTGCTCCGATTTATTGCAGATGTTCATGGATAATAGAGCTGACAATATAAAAGGATAATAGAGCTGACAATATAAAACTATTTTGTGGCTTATCCAATATTACTTTATAATGCATTATTTGTCTATGTTCTTACAGGATAAGTGTCATAAGAGAAACTTTTTTTTTTATATTGCCCCCTTTAAAAGCATCAAGACATTTTTAAAAGCTGAAAACCTCTTCAGGTTATTACTTAAATAGACATTCTCATAGGGCATATTTCATATTTGATTTGTGACAACTCCCAGCTGTCAAACACAATTTGCTATTCTTTAAAAAAATTTTTTTAGTTGTAGATGGACACAATACCTTTATTTCATTTATTCATTTTTATGTGCTGCTGAGGCTCAAACCCAGTGCCTCATGCATGCTAGGCAAGCGCTCTACCACTGAGCCCCAGCCCATTTACGACTTTAAATGAAGGCATTTTAGGCCACAATAAAATTACTTTTATTTTGCCACAGACAAAAAATACTTAAGAAACAACCATAAGACCAATCACAATTTCTAAATCCAAATGAAGAGTCCCTGGCCAAGTGTGAAAAAATATATAGATCAAATTAGTTGTCAAGCATGAGAAAATGCTTCTAAGGTGAAGTTACTGGGATGAAGGGATTTTGCCAAGGTGAACTGAGAACGTTATAGATGCAGATATAAAAGGAAAACCCTCTTACCATTGCTCCCTGGTTACCATCATGTCAACAACAGTTCCTGGAGCTGGATTTCCAAGTCTTCGATTGTGTTTAAGAAAAAACCTGGTGTTTATTCGTTTCTTCACCACAATGAAAGTTAACTTGATACTTGAAAAATTAGGATAAATTAGGATGTTTACTCAATCTCATCTCAGAAGCATTCAGGGTGCTAGAACCTCACACGCTTAGGACCTATTTAAAAGCCTGTGGACAGCAGCCCCCCTCCATACAGCCCAGTTTAAACACTTGGTTGCATGTACCCAAGTGGGGCAGTAGAAGAGGAGGAGTCTCTTTAGAGCCACCCACATCCTAGGTGAAGGGACCCTTCCTCTGAACCTCAGAACCAGTCCTGCTGTCTCTGCTGGGCAGCAGGCCCCCCAATCAGAAGAGGCTGCGGACACAGCTAGGAGGGAGCCCCAGCACAGAGACTTAAAAACTCCAGGATCAAAGGAGTGACATCTGAGAGCCATGGACCAAGTGCTCATGGACATCTGTGAATCTGTAAGGCAGATGAGCACTCCACACAGTGCTCCATGAAGGGAAACAGGCTGCCACCACACTCTGCACCTGACTCCGTGTGAACCACAAAGTCAAAGGGCTGGGGCTGTTAACTGCCCACCCAGCCACTGAAGCCCACTGTGTGAATCAAGCCCCTTTTTCTCTTCACATGTCCCTTAGATTTTTTTTTTTTTCCTTCCCGAGAACAGCTTTTTCTTACATTATCTGAACTGGACAATTTATGTACTCACCTATATGGGCACTCATTTTCTAAGTAGCTCACGAGCTCAGATATTTCATGGTCAAGCAAGGCCTGAAGCTGACCATCTCCCACTCCATCCCGATAGACCACAATAGATTCTGGTGCATGTGGTACATTTCTAAGCCAGGAATTCAAGGCACCTGAAAGGAACCCAGAAACATGTAAGCACACCTCAACTTGGGACAAACTGGCCTCTGCTCTTTTTGACAATGTCAGGGTTCACCTTTCAACACTGTAGCTTTCAGGACAGTTTCGCTCACAGACTCCAACTTCAGAATAGTCCAGGGGTTCTCAATAACAAGTACCATTGAAATTTGAGTGGTATGGGTGTGGGTGGTCATGTCATACACAATGGGGTGTTTTGCAGCATTTCTGGTCTCTACCTGCTGGACTACATGCCAGCAAACCATCATCCCAGTGTGGCAACAAGAAAGTGTTTTCGGTCATGAATGACTGGTCTCTGGGGGCACTATCTCCACTTGTGAAGAACTACTGATGTAGAACGATGGTACACCAACCCCAAGGCTGACCTTGCAAACAGTTCTTCAGTCCATCCACAAGCTCCTCTCCTGGTGCCTGGAAGATACATTGAGAGTACCACCTATTTTCAGAAAAAAAAATGAATTAACTGGAATCTTAGAATTTCATCATTTGGATTCTGAGTTAATCTATGACAAGAATATATACATGTGTATATATGCGGGCGAGCGCGCGCGCACACACACACACACACACACCAGTAGCCAAAGGATCCAATTAAGGATCAATCCCTTCACATATCTACAATGATCAAGTATTAGTCTCTTTTGATATCTTAGGCATCTTATAAGGGTTTTTGAATACACACAAACAAGAACTGTTAAAATTATTATGAATTACTCATTTTGGGGCTGAGGTTGTGGCTCAGTTGTACAGCACTTGCCCAGCAATTGTGAGGCACTGGGTTTGATCCTCAGCACCACCTAAAAATAAAGGTATTATGCCCATCTGCAACTAAAAAATCATTTTAAAACATTACTCATGTTGTCCACATACATGACTACTCTAGTTTCATCTGCTGGGGAATGTGACCAAGTGAAAACTCTTCTCCTGGAGATTTCTGCTTTGGGGGTCAATGTCTTAGGCAAAGGGCTCACCCATAATAATAATCTGAGGAAGCAATTTGATTTGCAAGACTGACAGCTATTATGACAACTTCAACATGTCCAGTAAAATCAAAATGGCTGGGCACTGTGGTGTACACCTGTAATCCAAGTGGCTCAGGAGGCTGAGGTAGGAGGATCATGGGTATAAAGCCATCTTAGCAAAAGCGAGGTGCTAAGTAACTCAGTGAGACCCTGTCTCTAAATAAAATACAAAATAGGGCTGAGGATGCGACTCAGTGGCTGTGATCAACCCCTGTTACCACCCACCCACAAAAAAATTCATAAAATGTCTCAAGTTGCTCTCTCTTTACTGTTTACTTCAGAAGGAGCTCACCTGACCACCTGACATTATGTGCTCTACTTATTTGTCTGCCTCTTTATTAACCTCCATGAGTTACCATCAGCATTTGGTTCTCCGTTTTCCCTGCTGTACTGCCAGTATTTAAATCTAGAAATTACTTCAGAATGTCCACTGAGTGACACTGTCTTCCCATTATCGCAACATTTTCTAATTCAAAGAAAAAGCAGTATAAAATGTTACTGTGTGGAAATAGAGAATCACTGGGGGAAATGATGTCATCTGTGGAAATGAGGATGGATTTTCTCTAAAGAACACTCTGAAATCATCCTCTAGTGGGCCACAAACATCAATCATGGGGGCAGGGGTAATCTGAGGGCCATATATCATGTAATACACAAGGGCTACAAACTCATTTTAAGGTGTGGTGTGTTTTCTACTCTAAGGATGGGGGGGAAAATGGCTCCAGAAGAAAAGGGGTGTTGTGGAAATACAGATGCACATCTCCTTTTGTGGGTACATTACATAGAAAGGCCTGAAGAAGCCAAGATTCTATACCTCCAGGCCTCTGGTTGGAAGATGGGGGGGGGCATGTGGAAAGGAATGTGCACGACCTCTAAGAGGCTAGACTGGCCTGCAACTGACAGCCAGCAAAGCATCGGGACCTCTGTGCTAGCACCACTAGGAAATGGCCTCTGCCACACCCACGAGAGTCTGAAGAGAATGTGGCTCAGCTGAGATTTTAATTTCTATCTCATGATTTCAGAGTCTCACCCAAAGAACTAAATATAAGCAGTTATTGTCATCTGCTACTTTTTGCTCTGTCAGATGAAAAACAAACAAAAAAGCCCCCCACGAACTCAACCATTCATGCAAAATATTTTGGGAGCATAATTTTGCCAGAAAATTGGGACAGCTCATGGCTAAGAACTACTCGTCCGAACTCCCAATAAGTATGAGTCAGGTCACCTCTTTGGTTGGGTGCACAGACAGCTACCAATCAAATGTCTACCAAAGCTTACTCACTTGGTTAATTCCTCATCGGTGCTTGCCACAAATCCTGCAATTGACTTCTGACGACTTACAATATCGTGGAAACAATCAATACCGACGAACATTGTCTTTTTCAACTTTTTTTTTAATAAAAAAAAGTAAATTTAGAACAGAGTATGAACAAAACTTAATGGTTAGATTAAAAAACAGACTCTTAAATTTCACTATTCACAAATAAAAGAGAAGGTAATGAAATCCTACATACTCCTGTCTCCACCTTCCAGAGGGCTCCTCCCATCTTGCAATTCATCTGCTGGGCAATCTTTACGACCATGGTTTTTAATGTCCAGGTTTTAGTCAGGGTATGTGCCACCACACACTGGCTTGGAATTGGAGATTTAACACACAAGTATTTTTTTATTTCATCATACCTGTTTTTCCTATCATCAGGCAATATACAAACCACCTTAAAAGCAAGCAGACATGAAACTCTTTAAGACAGTAATGATAAGAGAAATGAAAGCCATTTCAAGGCAGAACACTGATAAACTAGAGTCTACTAAGTGACTAAGTCTAAGGAAGTAGAGAGTGTAGAATCACATCACAAGGAAAAGGCTGCAGAATTGGCAAACTGGGAAGTGTGCATCCAATGCTTAAGCTTGAAAAATCCTTTGTTCCATTGACTCGATTTCCAAGAATTTAGGGTGAAGTTAACAAGGATGGGTTGAAAGTGTCCACAGAAGGATACCAGGATCAGGAAAGCCACCATTTGCAGGATGATCTTTATAGATAGGGTACTTGCTAGGTACTCTACTTGTCCCAGTTCATTTAAATCAACATCCTGTGCTTCCTGATATCATGGATTGAGAAAAACCCACTACCACATCTATGGTATTTTGCAAGAATGCATGACTTGAATCTAATTATGAGGAAATGAGCAAATCCAAATTGAGAGAGATTAGACAAATGAATTAGTCAGTGGATTAGACAAATATTTTTCTGTCTTACAACTAAAATCCTAAAATGCAGGCATAAGATTTTGTGTATGTATTTATGCATGTTTCACAGGTGTACATGGTATGTGTTCAACATGACTAATCATCAGGGAAATGCAGATCAAAGTCATATGAGGCATCACCTCACTCCATTGAGGATGACTGTGATCAAAGGTGTGGAGTAGGGCACCCTTGCACTCTGCCAGTGGGAATGTCAACTAGTACAGTCTATCATTGGAGACAGAGGGGAAGTTCCATGAAAACTAAAAGCAGAACTGCCCTTTGGTCCAATGATCCCATGCTGGGTATATATGTAAAGGAAACAAGTTCATGAAAGAAGTATCTGTGCTCCTATGCTTACTCAGCACTATTCACAATAGCCAAGATATGGCATCAACTAACATGTCCAAGAGATGAATGGTCAAAGAAAGTAGTATATATACACATAGTGAATGCTACTCACTATAAAGAGAGGGAAATCTGGTCATTTGTGATACCACGGATGAACCTGGAGGATATTAAATGAAATAAGCCAGGTACAGAAACAAAAAGCATCATATAAACTTAACTTGTGTGTGTAATCTAAAAATGTTGATCTCAGAAGTGGAAAGTAGGACAGTGTTTACCACAGGTGGGGTTGGTTACCAAGAATGGGGAGCCTGTAGGGGTGTTGGTCAAATAACACATAATTATAGTTAGGTAGAAGGAATGAGTTCCAGAAATCTAGCAGGCAGCACATTGACTATAGTTAATGGTGTATATAATATTCTTGAAAAAAATGTCACGAGAGTAGATATTAAGTGTTCTCACCATCGACACAACTATTAGGTAATGCATGTTAATTAGCTAGAATTAACCATTTCACAATGGAAACATACTTTAAAACATGTGGTATCCAATAAATATATATCTCTATTGATTTACCTCTTTTTCTGAAGAGCTAAGACATTTCATTTGAAAATGGATATTGGCTCAGAAAAGGTGTTTGCCTCCAAAGATTCCCTATAGCAATTAAAAAAAGAAAGTCTAGGCTTCATATAAAAGGAAGAAAAACATACTGGCCTCATGATTAAGAAAGCCTCCCTGGTCAAAGATCATCCTGAGGGAAGGAGGAGGATGCAAGATGAATTAAGGAAAAGAATTCAAGGAAGGGAGAAAGATGGGATATTTCTGTAGTAACTCAGACACCAGGTAATGACAACTTGGTCTAAAACAATGGATGGAAGAATCATTCAACAAGAGGAAGGACTCGAGCTAGAAGAAATACTATACTAAATAAACATTTACTTAGATCATAACTGGAGATGAAAATCATGATGATTTTTATAACCCATTTACATTAAATTTATATGTCATATCACTTTATAAAATAATTCCAAATTCAAAAGCCTGAGAAGGGGCTAGGATTGTGGCTTAGCGGTAGAGCGCTCGCCTAGCACGTGCAAGGCCCTGGGTTCAATCCTCAGCACCCCATAAAAATAAAATGAAGATATTGTGTCCAACTACAACTAAAAAATAAATATTTTAACAAAATAATTGAAAACTGGAAAAATGTAAATGTCCAAGTATAAGACTATTAAAAAAAAGCCTGAGAACATTAGCAAAAGGAATAGCTAAGCCCTGATAGTGCACATTCAGCTACACAGTGCACATTCAGCTACACTCTAGAGATACATTGGCATTTGTTGGTTAGTTTAGGGGAACATGGGCAGCCTTCTAAATTTTAAAGTACATGTAAATGCAGATTTAGAACTAAAGAACACACACCAACTAGACACTTACCATTTCTGGGCCATCTTTGATAAGCGTCTTTAAAATGTCTATATAACTAGAGATAGTGTTACCAGGTACTTCTCTCCTAGAAAATAAACATATCATCAATCCTCCAGTGGAAATGAATAGTGAAACACAACAAATATTCCATGCAATGAATAAAAATAAGCCATGATAAAAATGTCAAGATTTCCATTTTAGTTGTTTTTCAAACTAATTTGTAGGTCTGGTTTCCTTTGTAATGAGCTGGGATGTCACCATTTGGTCATCAGAAGTAAAAAGCTAAATAGACTGAAAAAAAAAAAAAAAATCATTCTAGGATCCCTAAGAGAGGTGAGGACACAGGGCAAATGGCTGCCCCCAAGGAAAAAACACAGGTGATCCCAAGAGTCAGGGCTTGCCCAAGAGGCTCAGAGCAAACAGGCCCAAGACAAAGCAGAGACCTAAATTGTCATTGACAATTTATTGAAATTGGTGGATGCTCAGTGTGGACAACTGGGGAAAATTAAAAAAACTGCAGGTGTACCCAGGCCCAGGGAGGACCCCGTAATTTGGAAGACTCACTTCTAGGAGATCAACCAGGTTCTCTAAAATATCAGAAAAATCCCCTGGTGATTCCAAAAGAGGAGGGGAAGAAGAATCCTTCTGAAATATTTTAGAAAACTCTTCTTCCCAGCAAGGCTGGCCTGCAGGGAAAACCAGTTACCAGAGCCTGATCTTTTGGGGAATTATCAGCTAATCTGCATGAGATAAGGGAAATAGCAACTCTAGCACACTCTAGCCATCTGGTCCTGCCTGACCAAGGAGAGAAGAACTTAAGCACCTGTGAAATCCACAATCCACAGGCTCAACCTCACCACAGAATGACACCTCATTATAGGAGTCTAGTTTCCCTTTAACTTACTACCACATGACCATTTACAGCACACACTGACCCAAAGCATCATATCCAGCCAGCAAGGAAAAATTACAAGGCACACCAAAATGCAAAAGCACAATCAAGAGAGAGACAGCAAACATCAGACAAAACTCTCAGATCAGAAATTGAGCACAATTTTTCATAACTAAAAGGATTGATTAAAAAAAACTTTTAAAAATCAGATGTGTCCCCACACATAAAACTCCTTTAACATTTTACTCAAAGTTTCTTACTAATGTGATTATAGAAGAAAGTCAAAGCAATAAACCTCTTTTTGTAGATGATATCTGTGAAGAAAATCTGAATCAACAAAATCCTGAAATGAATAAGAGGTTACAGTAAGGTTTCAGGATACAAGGCTTAATATATAAGAGCTAAATGCTTTTTTAAAAAAATACCAGCAACAAAAGTAGAATTTTAAATGAAAAAACAACAATATTCACACCTCAAAATGAAATACTTAGGTATAAATCTGACAAAATATGCCTAAAACCTACGTAAGGGAAACTAAAATCCCAATAAATAAATAAATAAATAAATAATAAAATGGAACAGTATTCCATGTTCATAGATGGACTCAACTTATAGTTGATGCAATGCTAATCAAAAATCAGTGAATAATTTTGTGAATATTGGCAAACTAATTTTTAAAACTTATGAGAAGCAAAAGACCCACTATAACCAACACATTTTTTTTTCTCTTTCCACATTTGTTTTTAAATTGGAGCATCACAGCTAACCAATACAATATTGAAAAAGAACAAAGGTGGAGGAATGACCTATCCAACATCAAGACTTAATAGAAACCTACAGTAATGAAGACAGTGTGTGGTTTTGGGGACGGCATAGACAAATTGGTCAATGGAAATTATATAGCCAGAAATAGACTCAGGTCAATAATCAGACAGAGGAACAAAACCAACACAATAAGGAATCTTTTCAACAGATGATCCTGGAACAAACAGACATCCATATGCCAGAAAGAAAATCAGTCTAGACACAGACCTTACACCCTTCCCAAAACTAATGCAAAAATGGATCACAGACCTAAATGTACAACCTCAAAATTAAAAACTCCTAAAGTTTTATAGGAGAAAATTTCCATGACCTTGGTTATGACAACAACTTGATACAACATCAAGGGCAAAATTCATGAAAAAGAAGAAATAGATTAGTAAGACTTCATTAAAATTAAAAACTTGTGCCTTGTGAAGGAAACTGTCAAGAGATGAGAAGACAAGCCACAGATTAAAACAAAATATTTGCAAAAGACATCTAACTAAGAGCTGTTATCTCAAATATACCAAGCACTCTTACAATTCACCAATAAGAAAACAAGCTGATTTTAAAATGAGCCAAACATATAAGACCTCACCAAGGAAGATAAATATGGAAAGATCTAACAAATAAGCATGTGAAAAGATGCTCCATATTATGCTATTGAGAAAATGCAAATATAAACAACAGAGTCAATGTCACCCTAGAATCACCTGATCCCAGAACACCTGTAACACCAAATGCTGGTGAGAAATTGGAGCAGTAGGAACTCTGATCATTGCCAAGGGGAATGCAAAAGGTACAGACACTTTGGAAAACAGTTGGTGGTTTGTTAAAAACTAACACTTTTTTATGATATGATCCAGTAATTGTTTCCTGGTATCTATCCAAAGTTGTTAAACACTTGTGTCCACACAAAAACTGGCACATAAATATTTAGAGCAGCTTTATGCATAACTGTCAAACCTTGGAAGAAAACAAGATGTCCTTCAGTAGGGGAATGAAAAAAAACTGTGGTACATCTAGACAACATAATAACATTTATCACTAAAAAGACATGAGCTATCAAGAAGAACTTTAAGTACATTATTACTAACTGAAAGAAGCTAATTTGAAAAATCTACATACTATAATCTTCAACTGTATGAAATTCTGGAAAAGTGAAAACTATGGACATAGTGAAAAAAAATTAGTTGAGACTACTCTGCTTGGTATTGTAATGGTGGATATATGTCACATACATTTGTCCAAATCCATAGAATGAATTTCATTCTTGATTTTGTACAATGTAAACTATAGATTGAGCAATTGTAATGGATTAATATAGGTTTATTAATATAGTTTCATCAATTATTTTAAATGCACTGCTTTAGTGGGAGATATTGATAATGGAGGAGGTAGGGAGTACATGGGAAGTCTCCATACATTCTCCATTTTTCTGTGAACCCAAAATTGCTACAAAAAGATTAAACCATTTAAAAATAAGTTCAATTTTTAGAAACATGATTGGGACCTTGGTTCTTTTTAAAAACTTTTTTTAAGTTGTAGATGGATACAATACCTTTATTTCATCTATATATTTTTATGTGGTGCTGAGGATCAAACCCAGTGCCCCATACATGCAAGACAAGCACTAACAATGAGCCACAACCCCAGCCCCTTGTTGTTGTTCTTTTTTTTTGTACTGGGGATTGAACCCAGGGGCATTAAACCCCTGAGCCACAGGCCCAGCCCTTTTTATATTTTATTTAGAGACAGGATCTTGCTAAGTTGCTCAGAGGCTCACTAAGTTTCTGAGGCTGACTTTGAACTTGTGAGTCTCCTGCCTCAGCTTCCTGCCCACAAGGATTACATGCTGTGCCACTGCATCCAGTGGGACCTAGTTCTCAACAGTCCCCATCCAGAACTGGAGACTATCATGCTAAGTGAAATAAGCCAATCCCCCAAACCAAAAGCTGAATGTCCTCTCTGCTTTGTGGATGCTAACCCAAACAAAGGAGGCTGGGGAGGGGAATAACAATAACCCATTGGATTAGACAAAAGCAAACAAAGGGGTGGGTGGGGAAAGACAGTACAATTTAATCAGTCCTCACTTTGCTAGCCTTGTATTTGTATACATGACCAGTGTAACTTCACCTCGTGTACAACCACAAGAGTAGGATCCTAAATAGAATAAGTTAAACTATGTATGTATATTCTGCCAAAATACATTCTCCTGTCATGTATAAGTAAACAAATTTAAAAAGTATTCCCCATCCATTCACACCAAGTTGCTCATTCCCATGCCTTCCTCAACATGTATCCTAACAGCCACAAAGCATGTCACAAAAGTCTGTTCTAGTGTTTGTTGACTATAAGAAATTAACATTTACTTACAGGGTTTCAGAGTTTTGATAAAGAAAATGATTCCTCCCAGTTGATATCTCAGAGACTCTACTTTCAGATTGTTAACAACCGATTTCTAAATTGGAAATTGCCACTCTACTTACATTTTTGCTTTTTCTAATGTAATGCCCATGGCAGGGGTGACCGAGTTTAGATTCTCCTCTAAGATCTTGGCCTCAGAAACACAGTTCCTAGTATGAAGTATCACCCAATGTTTCAGTGACACCGCTCTAAGTAAGGATGTACTTTTTGATCCTTTTAACCAGTCTGCTGGTGGATCAGCCTCAAACTAGAAAAGAATGATAAGACATAAATCACTTTTTTTAGACATCAACATTATCCAAGGGCATTTCCATTGTATACCTGTGCAATTTCTATTGAAATCTCTCAATTCTTAGCTTAAATAATGTGTGGATCACATATTTAAGATCTAGATTAGCAGAACTTGGATTCTATCTTGGGTGTCATGAAGTTTTAGTTGAGAGTTCATTAGACTAAGATGATTCCAGGATCTCAGTTTCCTCAGAGGTACGTGGAGACCTAATGAAAAAGTAAAATGAAACTAGGAAATTTACCAACCAGAAACTGTCAACCAACATCTATGTAGGGTCTTTCGACTCCAGTCAAATATATCGTTTTCATTGTACTTCTACATCAGCCTGTGGCAGCTCACTGCCCACACTGCTGCCATGAAACTCTGAACCTCTTCTGGTTCCGAGTGCTGCCGGATTCATTAATCCTTCTTTGCTCTAATACTATTAAAACTTCAGTCTTTTCCTTTATTACAGGTTCCTCTGCATCATTTCGATTCTATGTATCTGGTCCTTAAGAATATACTTGGAAGATCAGTCTTCCAACTGCCAGGAGCAAATGTCCACAGATTTAGATAAAGAGATGAGAGAGCTCACTATAGCCAAGTGCTTCACACATATCCTTATGCAGTGTTTCCCGTCATCTCACTGAAAGAATAGGTGTACTGAGAAGAGCAACAGGCATAGCTATAAACATGGCTGAGTTGGTTCCTTTGTGTATTACTCTATTTGACTCCACCATGACATGCAAATCCTGACAATTCATCTTACCGAATCTTTATGTTGGAAGATTCTTTCTTCTTTCAAAGTTCTTCCCGAGATAGACAAAAAGTCTGGGTCAAGCACAAAACTCCAGCGACTAAGTTCTCTTTGTGCATTCTGGTCTCTGAAAATATAAATATTCCCATTGTGATCAGATCAAGGAAAATAAGCAATGGCAATTAGATATATGCAAATCAGGACCATTTTCCTTGAATCCATTACTGCCTGTTCTCAGGGTTGAAATATTGAAATTCAGCAGTGGAGGTGTTTCTGTTCATGGTGGGAGTTGTTGAGATTTTAGAAACTGGAAAACATCACGATTTGGATATCCATTATTCAGCCTTCCTGCTGCAGGATGCCTGACTGTCTGGGAACACCCGTCAATCACTAACATAAGCCCCCCGAGATCAGCTTCCTAAGAGGAAGGGCTTTGGGCAGAGAATTCCCTCTTTCTTCTCACTGAGCCACTCTTTGAATAAAGTCATTTGCCTTGCCTCAACTCCTTAGCTGTCAACTTAATTGGTCAAGCAAGGGGCAAGCAGCTGGAACTTAACAATACTGCAGATAGAACTCTGAAATAATCTTGCCCCTGGACTCACATTTCCATAGGCAATTTAGAGCCCCTTTCATTATTCCTGTATCTTGGTCCTCCAACATTGCCCAATCAGAAAAACTGGAATTGCTCCCCCTCTCCCCCAAAGAATAGCATTTTTTTCTGCAATAGTCATTTTTAAAAAATCTGAGATGTCAAGGGATATACACACAGAGCTCAAACTCAGTGCACACGACACTCAAGCACAAGCACAGTCAGAAAATTAGCACTTACACTTGTAGAGAGTCCCTGAACTCCTTCAATACCCTTGACCTGTTCATGGGACCTGGTCTCATTTTTGCAGACAATTCTCTCATTATTGAAGATCCTCTTTGTATGGTACCTGTTAGACCTTTAAAAAAAGATTAAAATACAGCTACACAAGCAAGAATAAATTTATATTAGGGAAGACCTAGGTAGTGGAGGTAGTGGGAACCACACCTGACCAACTTAGGGGTTGCAATTCTGGGTCATAGGCTTCTGCAAAAAGACTATTTCTACATCATAATTCAATCAGTGACTTTTTCTCTGGTATTAAAAATTCAGAGACTGAACTGGGCAAGTGCTCGACCACTGAGCTACATCCCTACCCTTTTTGTTTTTAGGGAGGGTTTCACTAAGTTGCCTCAACTGGCCTCAGATTTGCCACCCTCCTGCCTTGGCCTGTGCTGCTGGGATTATAGGTGCGCACCACGGCACCAGCTAAATCTGACTTTTAAAGACTTGGGTTGTCTTCCACAGAGACTCCATCAGTCAGCATTACCTGTCAGGTAGCACAGCTGAGGGACCAGACGTATAGGTGAACGTGGCATGAGCCTCCGGCCCTTTTTCCATCTTCCTTGGCTGACCAAGAGTGGCTGTTTGAAGTCAGTGATATATTCATTGTATTTCTGCTCAAGAGAAGCAAGGAAGACGGGTGTGACTATCAGAAAAAAAAAAAGACATAGAAAACCTGACATAAAGAGATACAAAAGCACGTGTTTTTGATCACATGGTGCCTGGAGGTGTGCTGGTGATTACTTTTCCCTTAGCTGTTAAGAAAGCATGAAGAGGACTTTTTAAGTTTTCTTAATGTTGATGTCCCAGGGACCACGTCGCTATGGTTCCTATAAGCAGACGTGGCAGAGAGAGAGTCGGGCTCCCACAAAGCATCACATTAAGGTCACTGTACTGTTCTCTACCCTTATACACAGCGATGGCTGAGAGACTTAGGAGTATACAGTGATCACTGACCTTGCCTTGAAAACTCCTAACGGACACCAAGAACTTTTAAGACGACTCACACTAATGGGGAAGGGCAAATCCTGACCCCCTTTAAAAATTTCTACATCCAACATTTCTTCTCAGTCTTCTCCCCTAAGCTCATAGTTCATGTTTCCAGGAGGAAAAGACATTTTAAAAACCAGATGTCACAAACAACTTCTTACACTGATGCTGCAATTCTCAAATAGTGTGGTGCCTTTCCTCCTGAAAAAAAAAAAAAAAGCAATCCTGCTAGAGCCTTCCACATCACTTATCAGCAAGGTCCTGGCTGAAGACAATCTGTCACATGGATTCTGGCATCAGGTGTTTCTCAAGCACCTGGGAATTTCAAGAAAGCTCCCACACTCCGAAGAAGACAACCTCAAATTCAGCTTTTTGTGACTATTCTTAAGAATTGAAACTAGGAGGCTAGCTTAAGACATTGATACAGAAGAGAGATGTCTTTTCCTTAAAGAGGCCTGTAGTTATTTAAAACGCACCTGGAATTTACCTATGTCCCTGTCCTAGAACTTTCTCATGGTATGCAGCTCACTGATTTTGCAGTTTGCAACTCCATCAGAGCCTCTCATACCTCCAGCCCACCCAAGCCAGCTTCTTCCAGGCTCCCCCATCCCAGAGGATGATGCTATCATCCACCCATTTTTCTCTCCTTTTTCTGGCACCCATAAGATCCACACCATCCACAAGTCCTGCCCATTCCTATTCACCTCTCCAAGCCAGGACACCACCATTTCCGTTGAGTCCCTTTAATAAACTCCTCGCTGGATTCCTTGCCTCCATTTTTACCTGCCTGTGCTGTCTCTGTATATATAGATGAAATAGTATTTAAAAACAGATCACTTGAGCTGGGGATGGGGCTCCGTGGTAGAGTGCTTGCTTAGCATGCTCAAGGACCCAGGTTCAATCCCAGGGCCACAACAAAACAAAATACCAACCCCCCCACCCCCACCCCCCCCCAAAAAAAATCAAAAAACAAAAAACAAAAAATAAAAACAAACCAACCCCAGATCACTTGATCCATCTACATATTACCATTTGATCACAGTAATCTTCAAGTTTTCCCAGGGCTCAAAATTCTATACAAGGCGTCCCCTACCTCACCCTCCAATAAGGGTGCAGCCCCAGCCCTGTTGACACAGCTCCCTCTGTGAACCACCTTAATTCTCCAGAGAACACACCAGCTCCAAGATAGGGAAACACCGTGAAAAAGGGGCCTTCACTGTCCCCTTCATTTTCTTCTCCCTGATCTGCACACAGCTCACTCCCTTATGACATGCACATTTCAGCTTCTCAGGAGCTTCCATGTCCACTCAATCTACGTAGCCACAAGAGAGGCCCCATCTATGTAAGAGGATCAGAATAGTTTTTTCTTGTCTGCCTGCTGTGAGAACCCAAGTTCCTCAAGATCAGGAGGCTCCACTGTCCTAGCATGCACAGCCAAGAGGCGATTGAGGCACTAACTGCTTTTGGATGGAAGACACAAGGCTGAGGGTGGCATTCACTCCAGGGTACTATTGTTCCCTTGGACACCCACCAGAGTGCAGTCATTATCAATGGCTCCACATGGCTATATTTTGGGTTCTTATATACAAATATAAGCTTTTCTTTATCATCCATCTGCAACTTGTTTCTAGTTGCTACAAGTATCTGGCATTCTTTAAATGACCATTCTTCATCTGCCCAAACTAGAAAGTCGATTGTATCAACTGGTGCTCCCTGGTTTACTAAGTTTACTTATTTCTTTGTGAACACTCACATTTGAAATTGTGGAACCCATGATGTGCCTTAGCACATCACTGAGACATCACATCAAGTGTAATTGATCATTTTTATTCTTTTTGCACCAAGTACTACAGAGTTGAGACTTCTAGACAAGTACCTTTTTCTATCTGAAGACTGACCATATTTTATTTTTATCCAATAGTCCATCTACATGTTGAAAACTACTCTAGCCACTTCTAAGGCTGACAGAGTGGCCCTGCTAGAGCTGTCTAATGATGCCACTTTGCCCAGGCACTTGAACACATGGATAATAGATAAGGCAGCCCTAGTCCCCAAAGGGGAGTATGTTCATACTGTATATCTAAGGTTCCTAAGTAAGACTTCTGAGAAGTTTATTCTACTAAGTTTGAAAAATTTTAAGATTCAAAATTTTTAAAATAAGATTTCCTACCTGTTTGTAGTATTGCACATAGGTGATTTGGCCACCATCTGATTTTGGAAATGTATCTCTGGGAGTCTGATTCCAATCGATAGCATCCACCCTGTAGGTTCTGTTGTTGTATCTGTGGCGGAACCACAACGTAAGAGGGTATTCCTGACTTAGTCATTGCACACGAAAGTATTTTTAATCCTCCAAGTAATTGTAGGATATATCAATACTAACAAGATTTGATTCACATACTGTACAACTCACCCATTTAAGTGAATGAGCCAATGGTTTTCATTGTATCTGCAGAGTCATACAATCAACAATCTTAGTATATTTCTACCTCCCCAGAAAGAGCATCATAACCATAAGCAACCATTCATTTCCACCCTAGTCTCCCAGCCCTAAGGCAGCCAAAAATCAACTTCCTGCCTCTGTACAGCATGTAATCTTTCCTGGCTTTCACTTAGCTTAATGTTTTCAAGGTTCATTTAGGCTGTAGAAAGTGTTGGTAATTGATTTTTTTTTTTTAATTTCCAAATAATATTCTACTGGAATCAGAAGCAGTGGCCTGTGCCTATAATCCCAGTTACTAGAAAGGCTGAGTCAGGAGGATGGCAGGTTCCAGGCCAGCCTGGGAAACTTAGCAAGACCCTGTCACAAAGGAAAACAAAGGGCTGGGACTGTAGCTCAGTGCTAGAGCACTTGCCTAGCATGGGTGAGGCCCTGGGTTCCAAAATATACACACACACACACACACACACACACACAATACATATGTATATGCACAAATACACACATTTTCAGTTGGATGGATAAACATTTTGTTTATTCATACACCAGTTGAGGGGCCTTAGGGTTGTTTGTTTATAGTTGGGTTATTATGAATTATGTTATGAACATGCAAGTATGAATTTTGGCAGATAAAAGTTTTCAGTTCCCTTAGGTTTATAACTAGGAGTGGGGTTTCTGGGTCATGTGGTATGCCATCTTTAGTCTGACACTTCCTCAAATGACATTTTACAAAGAATTTATATTATTTTACATTTCTACCTCAATGTAGAAAGTTGGTTCTACATTTCCCAGATCCTTACCAAGTTGTTGATATCTGCTTTCATATTAGCCACCATCATGGATGTGAAGTAGTACCTTATTTTGAGTCTCACTGGCTGATGATGTTGAGCATTCTCTCATGTGCTCACTGGCCAGAATATCTGCTTTGGAGAAAGGTCTCCGTAGAAAGGTCTACTCCGATGATGTGTCCATTTTTTAAAAAATTGGTGGGCTTCTTTGTTGGGTTGTGTCCTTTATATATTCTAGATACTACTACTTCTAATACATGTGACTTGCATGTATTTTCTCCTTGTCTGTCAGTTGTCCTTTCACTTTTTTGACAATGTACTTAGAATAAAATTTGTTAACTTGAAGTCCAATCTACCTATAATGTTCTTTATCTCTGTGCTCTTGATGTCCTATCCAAGAAGAGTTTGCCTAATCCAAACTCAAAATTTACTCCTACTAGCTCTTATATAGGTGTACACATGGTCTATTTTGAGTTAGTTCTGAAATTAAATTTGGGTGAACTTTGTGCATTGTGTGAGGGGTCAGGTGGATATCCAGTCACCCCAGCATATAACTGAGAAGGCTTTTCCCTCTTGTTGAATTAACTTGACATCCCTGTAAAAATAAGAAACTGCAAGGGTGAGGGCCGACTTCTGGAGTCAGCTCTGTAACAGTGGTCTGCGGGTCTATATTTGTGCCAGTATCACCCTGTCTCAATTGTTGTCACTTTTTAATAAGGTTGCAGTTGGGAAATTCGAGTTCTCTAGCTTTCTTTTTAAGACTGCTTTCCACTGTCTTATCAAGTTAATACTTCTGTGTAGAAGGAAAATTAAGATAAAAACTTCCTTCCAATAAAATGTAGCCAATGGATTATATGTAAGAGCTAATTTTTAAAATAGCTTATCATTCACCCAAAAAAATAAAAGGGAAGAAATGCAGAAAAAAACATGCTGCTCTGGGCAAGCAGACCCAATGAATGGGCGTCAGGGACTGAGGGACAACAAGAGCCTAGAGACACTCTCCCAGGCTGTAACCAGATGGGAAGAGCAGCAGATGGTTCTTATGATTTTCATGCTATTTCTAGTCCTAAATGTCCACCTTCAGTGATTCAAGAAGAACAGGAACATCTTGTGTGTGGGGTGAAGAGAGTAATCAAATTGATGATTATATAAATTTGTTTAAAAAGTAGACTTACCTTGTAAAAACAATTGACCCAACTAATTCTTCTTTGATTTTGGCAAATTCATTGTTCTCCTTTAGTCTCATTATTAAATCATAAGCAGTTTCCAATCGGAGTAGTTTATGGCTCAGGTCGGCACACAGAGTAAGGCTGTTTTCATACGGAAGAATGGAAGTAATATAACCAGGCAAGACTTCCAACCTGCAGGCACAAGAAACCGCATGAGAGTATGATGGTCAGCCTCTGCGCAGGAAGCAAAGTGTTCAAGGCCTGAGCTCTGGGTCTAAAATAGGTACAAGTCAACTGGTTTTGATCCCTTAATTTTAGCAATAATTGATCTTTCCAAGGACCTTCAAATAAAGATGACTTATAAGTAGCACATCTTTTTGTTAATTGTTATTACTACATACAGGCTTAATGCATCATCTCTAACTTTTAAAATAAATTTATATACACACATATCCCAACAATAGAGATGCATATAATATATAATTGCTACTAAATTTCAGGCATTTATCACTCAATTTTTAATTGATTTAGGCTTCCTGTATTGTTTATACAATAACTGAATACTTTTAGGTTTATGTTTTTCATACTAGGTTCCTACCCCCCCCTTTCTAATAAAACCAAAAGTTTAATTGCTTTGCTAGGAAAGGAGAAACACAGGGGGCTCCTGTCCCAGAGACCGATTCTGCCCATCATAGGGAACAGAGGGTTTTGACAGAGGCAATTCCAGGTGTTCCTGGTCCTACTTCACTTGTTATTTTGGGAGATAATCATTTCTTAGCTCTTCCGGTGCCATCCCCAAGTCTGAAATTCTTCACTCCTGTGGTGGGTATACACTTAAGGACAGATAACTGGATGGGGACCAAGAGTAAACCTGTCCCCCCGACCCCAGGTTAGGGAGGTAGAGAGGGAGAAGAGAAAAAAAATGTTCATTTTAAAATAAGCCTCAGTGGCAGAGCATCATGCTGGGTTTTTTAAGGTTAATTTTTCTTTTTAATTTATACTAAATTGAACTTTAGTTGATCATGGTGGGTGGGTGGTACAATTTAAAGGGTATATCACTTTAAAATCATACCAGTTCAAATAGAGCAACTTTCTAAAAACAATATATTAAGTCTATAGAACATTGTATTTTCTACTTTATACAAACCCATGGTCCAACATAACACATTTCTTCCTGTAGTCATAATAGTGGCGGCCGATTTGTTTCAAATTCATCTGCCTCAGAGTTCTAGAAGTTGAAACAATAGAATTTATTGAAAAGAGTGAATGTTACTAAGCATTTGGTCACACGTAAGATACATTAGGAAAACAGTCTGCCAATGGTTTTGGTTCTATTATCAATTAAGACAAAGCACCCGATAATAAATTACATGAAGATTATATATTCATATTCTCACACATGCATATATATCTCAAAAATATGTGTATATAAATACAAAAAATATATATTGGTTATATATATACACACACACACACACACCAAATTTTATTTATATATATATATATAAAATACATTTTTGATAGCAGGGATTGAACCCAGGGGTGCTTAGCCACCGAACCACATCCCCAGCCCTTTTTAATATTTTATTTAGGGACAGGGCCTCTCTAAAGTGCTGAGGCTGGCTTTGAACTCACAGTCCTCCTGCCTCAGCCTCCAGAGCTGCATGTGCCAATGCTCCCAGGGAAGATTTAAAGGCTCATGTAACTTCAATTTTTCTGGCTCTTTTTAAAAGATAAATTATACAAATCTCAGCAGACTGTCTTTCATTCCCAGAACTGAACTTAAACGTCTTAAAACTTGGGACACATAGTTTGTAATTCTGAACATCTGGTCAACATAGTGACTCCAGAAGAAGGGGCAAGCAGATGCTCCAGATAAAAACACCCATTATGCATCTGATAACTCTGGCAGGTACCAAACACCGGAAATGGGTGTCGGCAGGGAGAATGAGTGTTGGAGATGAGCCCCAGAGCTTGTCCCAGTGTCACTTCTTCCCCAAGACTTCTCACCACTTCAATACATGGAGGCCGTCAATTCACAAAGTGTGAGAAGCACACAGCTCTGTTCACCAGCACTGATGCCTAAGTGAACCATGAGCGCAGCTCATGGGAACTCAATCTTGCCAACACACCTTCTGAAGAGAACGTTGTAATAGCGCACGCAGTCAGGGTGGTTGGGCGGCAGTTCCTTGGAAAGCTGGAGTGTGATCTTCACAATGCTACGGCTTAGGGTATAGCTGACAAATTCCATCTCCTAAGGAGTAGAAAACAAAAAAGTTCCAGACGTTCTTTCAAGAAATAAAAGTTTCATTGAATAACAAGCCAACATGACCCTTAGATATCCAACACTCCACTATGATGCCTGCGTGTAGAAAACACGGTTCACAAAAGCCAAGCTTTAGAATTTTTAACTTAAGCTCCTATAAATAATTTATTTGGTTAACTAATATCAAAATTTATTGGTGATGAAGTTCAAAGAAGATCATGAAAATGCATAAAAGGAAAATATGTCCTTATCCAAACATTTTTTTTTGCTAAAGTTTGAGAGTAAATGAAAAAAATTTTTTAATCAGTATTTTCCAGCCACATTGTGCTTCAATTCCATTTAAATTCCCCTTAAGCACTAACATCAGAAGCATTATTGATCATTCATATTGATCAAATGTGACACGCAGGTTAGTTACAAGTCTTGTGGGCAAGAGATCCTCAGAACTTCTCTACACGCTCTTGTACAGAAACAGTTTTGTGATAGCAAAGTGTAAATGCAAGAGAAAGAAAAGAAAACGTCAGATATTACTTAACCTGATTTGGTAGCCTTTGAGATAACAATAAAGAGTTTCCATCAAATATATGGCTTATTCCAAAAACTCTTTCATGTTGAAAAAGTAACTGTGAACGCAGATTTGTATCGTCTACATCTGGTTTGAAGTCAACGTTGTACTTATATGCAATCAACTGGGGACATGTCAATCGGAAATGGTTTGTTACAAGTTTTACCGCTTTACCTTCTGAACCTGAAAAAAATAATGCGCATGTCAAAAATGGGACAAAGTGACTGATTTGACCCCAAATAGTCTGGACACTATGATATTCGGAAACAAACTTAGGTCAATCACGGAGATAAAGAGTAAACAAACATTTGTACACACCTGATTTCCAGAGTGCCTGTCAATTTGGTGAGAACTGATGTAAATATAAATTTAGAGAGTTTTAACTTTAAGATTAAAATATTATATAAATCAAACCCCAAACTAAATCTCTACAGCTACCAAAAGGAAAAATAAGCCACTATGGATAACAATTGTAATTTTTTAAAGCTCAGGACAGCCAAAGAACTGAGTCATTCTATTTTATGGGCTTTTAAGGAAAGATAAGCAGTCTACCCAAACTCTACAATGAATTGTCATTTCTGCAAAATTGAATGAAAGGCGAGTGGCCGCCCGAGTGAAATATGTCTACGTAGAGTGATGGTGTGAAGCTGTGCAGAATCTCTTAAACACACATTATTGGTAATCAAGAGCTTAAAATGAACAGCTCCATAAAATGTAATGGTCATAGGCCAACACACCTGTTTTTGAGAGTCTAACATGCTCCAAGTTCTGCCTGGTATTCACCACAAGATCTTGAAAAACTCCAGCACGCCTCTTAGGCCTCACAGATAATGCCTGCAGTCCAGCTTCCAGTTGAGGTTCTCCTACATATGAATACATGCAAAGGCTGCAAATTTATACAGCAAAAAGGGAAAAGAACAATGTAACCCCAACTATCAAGCAAAACAATCAAGGTTTCAAATGATGCCACTGAAGATCCAAACGTCATTTCATGAACAGGTTGCAAGAAGTTTACTAAGAAAGTTTCCCAATAATCTCTTTTATTGGCACTTGATTTATTCCTGTTACACGATTTGTTCACCCTCACAAGATTTGGAAAATACCCTGATTTCTGGTGGCAGAGCTTCATAGCTCAGCTCCTGGCACTATGTGCTGCCCTCTAGTGGGCAGCAGAAAGTGCCGAATGAATGAATGAAGTGAAAAAAAAAAATATCTATCCATCTATCCATCCATCCATCCATCCAGGCAATTCCCTTTTAGTATGGAGGGACTGACCTTTCTATGTAGAAAAACTGGAAAGGACCTCAGCCTATTTCATTACCTTCTAGGATTTATTTAAATATTCCACATAGGCAAGATTTGAATGAAAGTGTGAATAGTGCATTGTGAAAGATATCTGTAAATCCTGTTTCCTTGAATGGCCAAGAGTCCATAGTTTGGATGACCAAAGTGTTTTACTTCTGAAATGTTACTTCTGAAAACTATTATTCTTAGTTTATGGTGCTCTTACACAGTATTAAGAATCTGTATTTCTACAGGAGAATGACTATTCACTATATTTTATGTATAGAATTTAGAACTAGCTCCTGACACATCCAGCAATCAAATTCATTTTCAGTGGAAGAAAACAGGAGTTATCAATTATTGGCATTTGCTACACACCACATACTTTATACATGATATTTAGTCACACCTGCAGAACTGTGATGGGGGATACAAGTGTGTTTTAATGTGATGTATTCAAACTTCACTTTCTTGGTTCTGGATTTTGTATATTAAAACATTTTTCTGTTTCTTATTTAATGTTCATAGGTTTAGCCTATCACAAGTTATTTGGCTATAAGAAGCGAGGCAGAGAATGGGGTCTGAAGTTTGATTGTATTAGCCACATCCTTGGCAAATGACGACAGCTGAGCCTGAGGGCTCACCTGTATAATGACGAAACCTGTCACCTGCAAGGATGCTGAAAGGCAGGAAAACACCCAGTGGTTAAAGAGCTGCTCAACCTTCTCAACACAGCAATTTATTTTATTTTATTTTTTTAAAAAAATTTTATTTTGGTACATTTATGTGTGTATTGTCCTAAACAGACAAAAGAATCATGTTCCCAGAACTCCTGGCTAACTTAGGGTTATCTCTACAAATATATTATCTAACCTTGAGAACAATATTGAATTGGCTCATGAATAATGTTCTCTGCTTCTTTTTCATTAGCTTTTCAAACGTGAGGCAAATAAAACACCGACAGTCAAATAATTCACTGCAGGAAGGGAGATAGTTATAAGCTGCCCATGCTCCCCATCCTGCCAAGCATCATGGGAATACTGGAGCTTTCTGTTGGTGTGTGCACCTTCCCCTGACAATCCTCCCCTGCCCCTCACACACTCTCCTTCCCTCATCTCACCTGGAGCCTGGACCCCTCCTTCTGCACCTCTTGGCTGCCCATGTACAGCTGCTTGGACCTCCTCTCGTGGTGGGTAGGGGCCACGCTGCCATGCAGCAGCCTGAGGGGCCTGCAGGATTTTAGGAGATAGAAATAAAAAGCAGTGTTGCCCAGATGATATATGCTCGGGACCCAAAGAAAGCCTCTCCCTTGGAAAAGCTTACATTCCAGTAAAAAGTAAATTTTGAAAAAATAACTTCTGTTGCACCTTGCAGCTAAGAAAATGAAAAAATGCAGAGCAAAACAGAATGGGGGTTCTGGGAAGCTGGGTGGGAGGGGAAGTCTGCTCCAACTCATGGGGAGCAATGAGGAACCTCAGGGGACACTGACATGGGATCAGACTTGAAGAAGGTGAGTGAATGAGCCAAGTCCCACGGGCCATAAATAGAGGCGGGAGGGCAAAATTTCTGGGGTGCACAGGTAGAAATGTTCAAGAAGAACGAGGATCCAGTGTGGCTGGAAAGGTGAGACACAGGATGAGAAGACAGTGGGATTTAAAAAAAAAAAAAAAGGGAGGCCATTTGAAGGAACTTGCCTTTCACCTTGAAAATGGGAGCCTTTCCAGGGTGTTGGGCACAAGAGCTACAGGACCTGGTTTGCCTGGTTCCTTGTTAGGAATAGATCAAGTGAAAGACAAGGGCAGAGGCAGGAAGACCAGTTAGGCCACTGCAGTGTCCAGGGAGGGTTGCGGACAACTGGGACCAGAGGGAGGGATCCAAGTGCTGAGAAGCTGGTGGATACTAGATAGGCTTCCATTCCTGGCTTTGGGTGGGAGTGAGAGACAGTATTCCCTGGTGGTCTATGGGACAGGTTTGCCATAGAGTCTAGGATGAACCCAAAGATGTTGGCCTGCACAAATGGATGAACGGAACACCTTTGAATGAGATGGGAATGACATGTTTGGTCGGGGAAATTGGGAGTGTGGTGTGTCCATGAACATCTGTGAGGATCGTCGGGCAGTGCAGGAGAGGTTCTGGCTGGAGATTTAGATATGAGGACTGTCCACATACCAGACATTTCAAGCCATGACACTGGCTAATATCACAAGGGAGTGAGTCTAAATGGAAGAGAGAAGAGGACCCAGGGCATGTCATGGGAGCAAGGAGGAGAAGCCAGCCAAGAACAGTTTAGCAGGGGTGGCAGTGCTGGAGGAGGAGAACAATGGTGTGTATGGTGGCTAGAGGGAGTTCATCAAGGAGGGCACGTGCAGGCAGGACAGAAACAATCTGCGGATTAGGGGAGGCAGAGGGCACCATGGAGCCTAAGAGCAGTCTCAGTAGAGCCCTGAGGAGAGCCCAGCAGGAGGAGAGAGAGAAAAGAGAAGAACTGGGGGTCAGAACGGAGACAGTTCTGCAGCAGGAAGTGGGTGGTGAAGGCGGGACTGTTGGGGAGATTACCTGCTGAACAGGAGGAATCTCATTTGAATGCAAATGCTTTAGATGAGCAATACCCAGCTGCCTTGAGTAGCTGACAGGGGAGTTGCCAGAGGGATTCCTGGGATCAAGGACTGCTGAAGGATCCCCGATGAAAGCCAAGCTAGTGCCTAGGGCCTCAGGGAAGGGGCTGAGACCAGGGGTTTTGATGCTCCTGGTTGAGGAGACAAAGTTAGGAGGTCATTGACATTGAGGTCAATGCTCTGTCTCAATGACCTGGGAGTCAATGTCAAAGACTTGAAATTAGGACTAGAGAGGAGATGGTGAGGCTTGAGGGCAGCAGAAGAGGAGAGGAATAACACAGAATGGGCAGGTTCAGATGTGTCTTGCCAATGCCAAGCAGTACCCAGTCCCACTAGAGGTCACCAAGCTGGACTCCATCAATAGGGGTAGGGTTCTCCTTCACCAGTGCAAAGTTGATATGCACTGAAAGAACACAGAACATATCCACATAGCAGGGATATCAAGTGTTAAGACTGCAAATTCTATCTGGTTCAGGTGGTTGAGGACTTTAATGAAGATGCTTGTTTCCAAGTCGTTTCCAAAGAGGTGTCCTGGGCTCAAGTCAAGAAATTTAGAAACCTTTGTGATCACTCTGGGTTGAAAGGAAAAATCCATTTGCATGTGGTAAAAACCAGGCAGGGAAACAGCAGAGAGCTCTGCATCCCCTCAGCCAAGAAATCTGACTTTTCTTAGAAATCTATCAGTTCTCACTTAACAGAAAAGAACTCTATACTGGACTATAGTGGTAGAACCTGGGCTTTTAAATTCTTTTCACCTCCAGCAGGGATCTCTAGCATAAAAGAAACAATTAACTTTACAGCACTCACTGCAGCAGCTCCAGGTGCCTCACGTTGGGGGATAGGCTGATCGGCCCTCCTCCTGGCCCTGCCAGGCATGGTGTTCCTGGCCCTGCCAGGCATTGTGCCCCTGCCCCTGCCCCTGCCAGGCATTGTGGTCCTGAGGGCGTTGACCCTGAAGGAGAAAAGCCCTGAAAGAACATGATTGTAACAGATATCATTGGAAAGTCTCCTGGCAATTTAAAACAAAAAACAAAAGCGATTAATTAGGTTAAAAAATGAGGCACGGGGTAACTAACTACACACGTTTTCCAATCACACCAATGAGACGGATTGCTCCAGAGTTGGCAGAGAAGTGACAGAGAACCTGCTAAAACACTGCTGGAAATTGAAGAATAAAACCTGGCTTGGTGGCCCAGTTTGTAATCCTGGTGACTCGGGAGTCTGAGGCTGGAGAATCTCAAGTTCAAAGCCAGTCTCAGCAATTTAGTGAGGCCCTACGCAATT